ATTCCTCATAATATTGTTCTCCTGTTTTCTTATTCCATTTTTCCTTTTCTTTTTGTTTTGGCCTGGAATACTCTTCCATTCATCTCTGTAGGTCCAACCTCATGTATACATCAAGGAGATGATTCAAATGTCAACTGCACAGATTATTCTCTCATCTCTCTAGATGTAGTCAGTATTTTTCTTCCTTCGGAGTCCCACATTATATTACCAAAACCTCGTTTACAGCAGTTAACTCTTTCTCTCTGGTTTCACTGAAATGAATGAGATTGTGGCTCATTTCCAAGATGAGAGTAGGGCACCTATACCTGATTTGTATCCTCTGCCTCAGTGACATCTTCAACATAGCATGCAGACAGGTAGGCTCTGAGTGGGCTTGTAATGATCATTCTTTACTAGGCCTTGTAGGTAAGTGACCACACATGCCCACAAACTAGCTATCTTTTCTCTTAAACAGCTTTGTTGAGGAAGAATTTATACCACAGAATTCACCCATCATCTGTGTATGGAGTGTCTGTGTGATTTTAAATAAATTTATGGAGTTGGACAACCACCATCACAATCCAGTCTCAGAATACTTCTCTCATCCCAGAGAGTTCCCTCATGTCCATCTACAGTTAACCTGGGTCCCACCTCCTGTTCCAATCAACTACTGATCTGTTTGTGTCTATAAATTTGTCTTTCTGGGCATTTCATAGAACAGAATTACACAATATGCAGTCTTTTGGGGCTGGTTTCTCTCAGCACACTATTTTTGAGGCTCATCCATGCTGTGGGTGAATCAGTTCTTTGTGTCTTTCTTATTGCTTTATCCATCCAATGGCTGATAAGCATTTGGATGGTTTGCAGTTTTTGGCTATTATGAATACTGTTAGGTAAGATACATATAAATCTTTTGTTGACATATATTTCATTTCTCTTGGGTAGATTCCTAAGTTATTATCAAATAAGTGTATGATTAAATTGTTTTTAAATTGCCTATATTCCAAAGAAGCCACATCATTTTACATTCTCACCAGCAATGTGTGATGATGCTTGTTGGTCCACATTCTTGCCATAATTTTAAAAAAAATTATTGGCACTCCAGAGGGGTGTGGGGTAGTATCTCATGTGGTTTTAACTCACATCTCCCTAATGACTAGAGATGGAAATATTTTTAATAAATTTATTAGTTATTCACTTTATCTTCTTTGGTGAAGAATCTATGTAAATCTTTAGTCTACTTCTTAATTGTTCATCTTTCTCATTGGAGTTATAGGAGTACTTTAAATAGTCCAGATACAAATCTTTTATCAGATATAAAATTGCAAATATTTTCTTCAAATCTGTGTCCTGAATTTCATTTTATTAATGATGTCATTTGAACGGCAAATATTTTTTTATTTTGAGGAGGTCCAATTTATCAATATTTTATTTTGTGTATCATGCTTTTGGTGTCTAGCTAAAAAGCGTTTGCCTAACCAGCCTGACAAAGATTTTTTCTGGTGTTTTCTTTCAGGAGTTTTATACCTTTAGCTGTTACATCTAGATCTAGGTTCCACTTGGATTTAATTTTTGTGTGTTGTGTGAAGAGTTGAAGTTCATGGGCTTTTTTCATATTGATGTCCATTTTCCCAGCATTATTTGTTGAGAAGACTATCCTTTGCCTTGGCAATTTTAGTGAAAATCAACTGACCATGTAAGGGCTTAAATTCCACTTCACTGATCTCATGACTACTACTCTTACACCAATAATGCAGTCTTGATTACTATTGCTTTATAGTGCATTTTGAAATTGGGTAGTATAATTCCTCCAATTTTCTTCTTTTTCAAAACTGTTTGAACTATTATATTTCCTTCTACATTATAAAGCTCAGCTTGTCGATTTCCAAGAGTATGCTAAAATTTTGAGATCATATCGAATCCATATATCAGCTTGAGAACTGCCGTCTTAGCAACCGAGCCTTCCAGTCTGTGAACAGGAGATGTCAACTCCACTCAGATATTATAAGTAGTTTGCAGTGTGTAAGTTTTGTACCTCTTTTACTATATTTATTCTTAAGTTGTTTATTCTTTGTGATGCTATTCAGAATGAGACTGTCTTCTTAATGCTATTTTGGACTGTTTACTCATAATATATAAAAATACTTAAAAAAATCTCGACATGATATCCTGAGACTGCTAAATTCATTCATTCATTCTAATAGTGCCTACTTGTGTATATGTGTTTTTTTTAAGATTTTTACATACAGGATCAAGTCATGTGTGAACAAGGGCAATTTTACTTCTTCCTATTCAATGTTGCCTTTTTTGTTTGTTTTTTGCCTTTACTCCACTGGCAGAAACTTCCAGTAAAATTTTGAATCTAAGTTGTGAGAATGGACATCCTTGCCTTGTTCTTGATCTTAGGGGGAAAGCATTCAGTGTTTCACAGTTAACTATGAAATCAGCTGTATGGGTTTTTTTAGATGCCTTCTATTAGGTTGAGGAGGTACCTTCTAATCCTACCTTTTTTAGCTTTTTTCATGGTTTTATTGAATTTTGTCAAATACTTTTCTGTATCTGTGTGATGGTATGTGGTTTCATCTTTTCCTCTATTAATGTAGTGTTGTTTTGCATTGACTTTTTTATGTTAAACCAACCTTATATTCAGGGTATATAATCCCTTTCAAGGTATAGTTGCATTTGGTTTGCTAATACTTTGTTAGGAAATTTCTGTATGTGCATGAGGAATACTGATCTGTAGGGGGGTTTTTTTTGTAATGTCTTTACATGACTTTGGTATCAGGGCATAAATGTCCTCATAGAATGAGTTTCTTTATTTCAGAAAGAGTATGATTTCTTTCTTAAACATTTGATTGAATTCACCTGTAAATCCATGTGGGCCTGGATTTGTGGGGATATTTAAAAAGTACTCATTAATTTCTTTACTTGTCTAGTCTGTTATGGGTTGAATTATGTCACCCAAAATGATACGTTGTAGTCCTAACCCTTAGTACCTCAGGGTGTGTTTTTATTTAGAAATAGAGTCATTGCAAATAATAATTAGTCAAAAGGAGGTCATACTGGAGTAGGCTGGGCTCTTAAATCCTCTATCACTTGTGTCCTAATAAGAAGATGAGCAAGATAAATGAGGAGGAAATGCCATGTGACGATAGAGACAGAGACTGAAGTTGATGGAGCTGCAAGCCAAGGAATACGAAGGACTGCTGACAAATCACCAGGAGCTGGAGTCAAGGAAGGATTCTCCCCTACAGGTTTCAGAGGGCTCCGTTCTGACAAGATATTGACCTTGGATTTAGCCTCGAGAACTGTGAGACATAAATTTCCACTGTTTTAAGCTACCCAGTACATGGTACTTTGTTATAATTGTTATATCTTCCTCATATATTGACCACCTTATCATTATGAAATGTCTGTCTCTAGAACTATTTCTTATCTCAAAGTCTATTTTGTCTGGTATCAGTAAAGCCATTGAAAATCTGTTATGGTTACTGTTTGCATGGTCTACCACTGTTAAATATTGTTGTTACTCTTACCATCATCATAATACATGATGCAATTTTGTAAGTTGTTCTTAAATTGTAAGCTTTTTCACAAGCAAGCTATACATTCTTTGATCAATTTATACATCTTTTGGTACCGTTTTGGGCATAACAACAAACACTCAATTCATTAAGAGCAAGTAGATGCCCAAACAAACTCTTCTTTAAAAAGCGATCCAATTGTGTCATTTGCTCATGGTGCTGTTGCCTGGTTTTAAAAGCTGAGAATGATACTTATCTGCCTTCCTGCCAGTCCCACTCCTAGATTTATGAACTGTACAAAGGCTGTTACCACAATTCCTTTGTTTATACATAAGAACCAATTTTTAGGAATATTTAGTTAAGTCAGATAGCTCTTTGCCAGATAGTGTTGCTCTCTTGCAAAACTTAGATAAAAAGAGGAAATTATTTAGATACTCATTTAGGTCTCAAATAATATAGACAAGGCATATAATGTTGCTTTTTCTCATGATTAAGATTCATGAATATTTTCATACATTTATGAATCCAAAGTTACAGCTGCATAACTTTGGTGCTAAAGGACTTATGGCATTGATTCTTTGGTATTTTAAGCCTTGCCTCAGTGAAAGGGTGCTGCTTAAGATGTGTAATTATTATCCAAGTGATCTGTTTGAAAATTTAAATGGAACTTGACTATGATACAACATGATCTCAGTATGAACTTAAAAAATTTTCTGTCTGCTCAATAGTTTTTTTTTAAATGCAGACTTTTTTTGTCCTCTCAAATGTCTGTAAATTTTTCCAGTGATAATGTTTGAAATTAAATATAATTGTCTATATTCTTAATCTTCATATACTTTAATAATGTTTTAATGAGATTACTGTATGGAGCTTCTTGATTTGTGTCTCCCTTAAAATGACCTCTGTATTTGATGTATTAAGATAGTGTCTCCCTTAAAATGACCTCTGTATTTGATGTATTAAGATAAAGCCAATAAAAATGATGCTATTACGAAAGGTGTAGAGTCTTTTAGAGAATATGAGACAGGATTAGTATTATTGAATTGATGCATATGATCATGGATCAGAAGGATAAAAGGGGACTCCTTCTTTTTGAGAAATCACATTAATCTTTTTCCTAGGGAAATACACAAAATACTCCTAAAGACAGTTCGCCTTCCCCCTCTTGTTTGGTTGACTTTCTATTTCCAGGAACGCGGTTTCTCATGGTCAGCCAAGCTTCCTAGCTTTTCGATCAGCACATTGTTTTTAGAAGGGATAGCTTGTAAGGCTCAAGGAACACTCTTGCAAACTCTTAAGAATCTTCTTTCACTTGAGAGTCTATTATATACCCTGTTCATGAGCCATTTTTTCACTTAAATTTCAAACTCCAAAATTAAATTCATATAAAGAATTCTTACAAAAGATAATCAAAACTCTTATGCTTTTGGCAGTAAGGTAACCTAGCTCAACACAACTGTCACAACTTTCAGTAAATACAAAGTAGCATAAAACCACCTGCATTTGGAGTCTTCCTTGGAAAAGGCGCATCTAACTCCTTCTGGGTAGAAAATTCCATGCCGAAGAGTAGCGTTTTCTCACACCGTATGAAATAAGTAGAGCATTAGAACATTTAACTTTCCGTGACTCCCACTACTGAACCAGAGTAGAAGCAGAACCTGTAATTAAAATGGCATCGGATGACAAGTTAACAGAAATACTTAACACCTAAAGCCCTCACATGGGCCAACAGACTAAGAAATGCAGTCTCGGGCTTTGGGGAGTGAAAAGCACACCCACGACCTTGTTTTGCTGGCGTACTTGGTAGCGGTGGGTTCCGCCCTGAGATAGGCAATGCTCCTGCTATCTGCTGATAACTCGTGAAGGTGGCAGTTTCTGTCTCTCACCCCATCCACTTCTCAAGTAGGGTCTGAGGACTCCTCGCAGCAGGTTGGGAGCTTGCAGCAGGGCTGGACCCTGGAGGGACAGTTTCACAGCCGCCACGAGGTCAACTAACTTGCTGCTTGTCCCAGTGCCTGGTTCCTCCAACGCAGGCCTTGTGTTCGCTTTTGCTTTACTCAAGGTAGAGGACGCTAGTGATTTATGGCGGGGGAGGCAATATTATCCACGTTTCAATCGGAGTTACAGGATGAGTACTCAACACTGAGCCCTCGGAGCCACCTAAACAGCCGGCAGGCCACCTTGCCTGGACTGAGCCGGCGCTGCAGCCACCAGAGGGGCGGGGCAAGCTCGTCGCCTGTGCGTGATGACGCACGAGCGCTAGCAAAGACTTCCGGACGCAGGCGGCCGTAGACAGCGTGAGTTTCCGCGTCTGTTTGACTTTGTTCGCGCGGTTGCTTCTGAGCGGCTTCTTTAGGCTTTAACTGGGGCTGCGGCACCGGAGGTGGGGAGGACGCTGCGGGGCGGCTATCGGCGCCCAGCGAGGGCCGGGGCAGGGTTGCGAATGGGAGCGTGGATGGATCGGGGTTGGAGGCGTGGCCTCGGTAGCCAGCAGCCTAGGCACAGTCGGGGTACGAGATCAGGGGGGCGTTTCCTAGAGCGATCCTGCGGGGTCGTCTTCACCCGGTCTCTGAGGCCGACCGCAGCGGAAATTTCCTGTCCACGGGTCTCAGGGGATGGGGTTTGCTCCGTGGGAGTTTTAAAAGCCCCAAGTTTACAGCGACGTTGCATCAGCAACAGCTTTCAGTTTCAGGTGCTCAAGGAACCGTGACTTGCTGTTCTCTTAGTAGGGCAAAGGAAATCCGCTTCCTTGAACTTAACTCTTTTCTGCTCAGACCTTAAAAACCTCTCCAAAACCGAGTCACAGTCAGGTTCGGGGACCCGGGGTGCTATCAAAATGAATTACTGCTTAATCTTGATTGAGCCATCTATACGTGCAGGTAGTACGCTCGCTGACTGCTGAGTTCCTCTTTTTTATTTTTAGTTCTTTGGAATGGCTTCTTAAAAGCCTGTCTGGTGTCTTAAATTTATATGTCGGGTTGTTTTTGTTTTGTTTTGTTTTTGGCTGGTTCTAATAAACTTAAAACTTAATTTGCTGCCATAAAAACTTAATTTGCTGACGGTATAGCAGGGCTTGGGGAAGAGGTCATGTTACACAGAGGAGCAATGCATTGGATTCCTGAGTTGTCCCAGGACTACTAGCATGGCATCACCTTGGAACTTGTTGAAAATGAAAATTTTGGGGTCTTAGTAGTGGATGCCAGTGCACCCGGGTGCTAAAGTTTGGGAAGTGCTGGCATAGTGAGAACAACCATTGGGGTATCACAGTGGAATTTTACAGAGTGGAATGGATCCAGGCGAAGCCTCTGTAGGTGTAGGATCTTGGACAAGTTACTCAAAAGTTACTTTACAGGGCTGTGAGTATTCAGTGTGAAAATGTGGGAAAACTGTTTAACACCAGTATCCTTAGAAAACACTCAAAGATGAGATGTTATTTAATAACCTTTATGACTATATAAAATACATACATAGATTGTGTTGGAAGGATTCTTTGTTAGGTTAAATATGAAGTATAGGGCACAGATATTGTGACCACTGCTTAGAAGGCATTTTATTTATTTGTTTCTGAATTCCCAGTTATATTGTATATAATCAAGGTTGTTTAATGAAGGCAGGGTATTCAGTTAAAAGTTATAGCAACACATACTAATAAACATATGGCAATACCAACTACCACTTGGCTGTAGGATTTTTAAGAATGGAATTAGTAATTGTGTTAAAGAGTACTTTAAAAATTTTGGGCCTTCTGTTCTCTTCACCTTAATTATACCTTTTTTTTGAGCCAGAATTTGGTAAAGAAGGTAGGGTGGATAACTGCCCAGAGATTAGCCTTAAAGTTGAGAAGTATTATGGAGCAGTGACTTTCGAGCAAAGGACAAGGCCGAAGGTGTTTTCATCCTTATCTTTCTTTCCCATATGTCATAAAGCTTCATGGTAGCAGAGAAGGCCTCATCACACCCATTCTCCGTAGCTTCGTTCTCTGGAAGCATCGCAGGAGTAGAGTTAGGTGTGCCTGCCACCTGTTGTTGTTTTCAGATCATCAGTTGCTGGGTTTACTCACAACTTTTCCTTTTCCTTTCCAGAGGGCCACAGTGCGGGGCAGGGGGCGGGGCAGGGCAAGAGAGAGAAAAATATTCAGGATTTGAAGCAGCTGCCCTAAAGCCTAGACTCATTCCAATGTTGAGAAGGGTCAGTGCCACACTGTGGCCTAATCAACAGGCTTTGATGAGAGCGTGTTGCTCCCAAGGCCATGCTCTGGCTCCTGGATATTGTGGGTGAGAGAGTTTTCACTTCAGATATCAGTTTGTATTAGAAATAATTTTAGTAATGCTCTCCCATCATAGAGCATTCATTTTCCCAAGGCCCCAAACATTTTTCTTGTTCTCTGTCTCAGAGAGGCAGATAGATTGCAGTGATTTGGGGTCAGGAAGACCCTGCTTTGAACCCTGCTTCTGCCACTACTGATTGTGTATATCAGATAAGTTACCATCCCCCCAACGTTCATTTCCTCTTTTGTAAAATGGCAGTCATGGTGTGTGATTGCCTCAGGACAGTGAATGAAATGAAATAAAGTGTAAAACGTCCACTAGGTGTTAGACATAGAGGCCCAATAACTATTGCATGGCGGACAGTGGAAAAAGGTGGTTACCACCTGAAACCTAACTTTGTCTCATTCATTTCCTCCTTATGAGTGAGATGGTTTTGTTATACCAATCCACACTGGTTTTCTTTTTAAACAATCAAAGATGCTGAAGTGAAAAGTCAGAGTTTTCACATTATCGAGAACCAGAGAAAGCAACCACTTGAAGAAAGTTTAAACTCTAAACCTGATAGAAAAACACTATCTTCAGTTTTATCACCATTCAGAGCAACTTCCATAAGATTTTTGGGGCTGTTAACTGGAAGGTGAAGGTCAGGGGGTGATAAAAATTTAAGCAATTTCAGTTCGTTAATGGGGACGCTCAGTTATAGAAGGGAACACTACGTTAGAGGAGATGAGACCTCACTCAAAACATGCACCAAAGTGGAAGAAAATATGTTAGCTCTGAAATAGTGATTTTTCAATATGGATATTTAATAATAAAGGGAGCATTTTTGTCCTATCTTTTAAAAATGATGAAAATTCTTAGTGTATTTTTAAAAAGATTTATTTTTAGAAAGGAGAAGGTAGGGAGAAAAAGAAAGAAACACCAATGTGAGAGAGAAGAATGTATCGGTTGCCTCTTGTGCATGCCCTGACTGGGACCGAACCTGCAATCCAGGCATGTACCCTAACGAGGAATCAAATTGGTGAGCTTTTGCTTTGCAGGATGACGCCTAATTAACTGAGCCACGCTGGTCAGAGCATTATGTATTTTTGTGTACGTGTATTAGGAGAATGGAAAATATTTGAAAGTAGTCACACCAGGTCATAATTTTCAATTTGTTGTAATCCTCACCTGAGGATATGTTTATTGATCGTTTTAGAGATAGAGGAAAGGGGGGGGAGAGAGAGAGAAACATTAATATGAGAGAGAAACATCAATTGGTTGCCTCCCACATGCTCCCCAACCAGGCGATCGAACTCTCACCCTAGGTGTGTGCCCTGACCAGGAATCAAACCTGCAACCTTTGGTGTGTAGGAAGATACTCTAACCAATTGAGCAACCCAGTTAGGGCCATAATTTTGTAATTCGTGGATGGGGATAAGTGTGTACACTTATGTAAAGTTATAGGTGCATGTATATGTAAACATTCTTTTTAAAAAGACCATTAAGAAGATAGAAGTAATGCTTTAAAAAGATAGATTTCCTTTCATGCTGCAGTTGTAGCCATCCAAGCAGTGGGCCTCAGGTGTTTTAGCAGGGAACCCTCGTTAGCAGAATCTTGGGTGTCACGCTCAGGAGCAGAGAGGCTTTAGTGAAGGGCACAGGCCCTCTGTAGGGACACACAGAGACATGTCCCTGGAACCTAGTGGTCCAGGACACTGGTTGTGAAACTCTTCATCTATCGGGTAGAAATCCTCAGGAGATGAGCTCTACCTTAAAAAGTCACGACAGGAAGAATTCCTGTGAGTGGGAATCACAGACGTGTTCTGAAGACAGCGCAAAAGATTTTCAGCGGTGGTTTAATGCAAAAGATTAAACATAGTGTGTCGTATAGCTTCTCATGCAGAGGAGTGATTATTTCTGCAAAAATAGAGTGGCATCTATGCACATTTTTTGAGAAATCATCTAAGCTTTTTTTTTTCCATCCCTCCAAGTGGCTGTTGTGTAGTGTTACAAATGATTCAAGGAAAAAGATTCAAGGAGGCCGTGAAAAATACATGACTTGTGTTTACTGCCTCTTGATTTTTTGTTGTATGAAAGCAGCTGCTTTGCATTTAGATGATAAAGGGTGTTTCTTAGAGTTAATTTTTTAGTTAATAGTGAGCTTTCGTAAGAAAAATAATTTCCACTGCAAAGTATTTGTTGGATTGTTGTGAGTAGCAGTAGCAGTAATACTGCATTGTCTTTCCCACATGGAAGGGGGTTCCCTGGTGACAGCTGGAGTGTGGGGGGAGGGGGAGTCCCTTTCAGCCAACCAGCTGCTCTGTGCAACATCATGATGGTAACATTTCAGAGCCTGTGGATAATTTTGCCTGTATTCAGAAAAGAAAATGTATCAGATTTCTGGGAAGCAATAGATGGCATGCAACAGCCCTTTGGGATGTAGGTGAGCGCCAGCCGTGCCTGTGTTCCGGTTTCCACGTTGGTGTCATTTACCACCTACGTCCTTGGGCACTGTCACGTGCATATCACAGTCACAGAGCAGTAAAGCCTCCTGCCACAGCAGGCAGAGAGAGGCTCACTCCCTCCTGCAGAGGAAGGGAGAGTAGAAAACAAACTTTGGGAGTGTGCCGTGTGCATTCCCATAACATGCCATTTCATCGATTCTTCCCAGTGACTCCAGGAAGTAAGTGGAGTCTTTCTCATCTGTGGATAAAGCAGCGCAGCGGCATGGTTGATGATGTGACTTTCCCCAGGTCACGTACCAGTCAGCGATGGCATCCAGATTTGACCGCAAATCTGCCTTCCGCTCCAGGAGTGTTGTCAGTGAAACAGCAGCTGTTTCTCCATGGTGTTAACTTGCTGATGCATTTTTAATTAGAAGTCACAATTATCAGGGTAGTTACGAATGAAATTTATATACATATTATAATGACTTCAATTCTATCTAAATAATATACAGGGGACTGTGTGTGTGTGTGTGTGTGTGTGTGTGTTTTGGCAGCTGTTCCTAATTTTGGATGTTTTTCCCTTGAGGATAGTGTCTTGGGCAACACTGTGAAAAGGATTTTGCTACATTTTTTTTATGTTACAAATACCAGTGATTTTTGACCATGTGTGTTCTGTTGAACCTGTTGCAATTCTAAGTTTGAACAAATGCAGGAATAAATACTGTGCGTACTGCCCATGTAGCAGAATTCCTTCCTTCATACTAAAGGTTCAAGATTTCCTCCTTTTTTATTTTTTTAAGATTTATTTCTTTATTTATTTTTAGAGGGGAAGGGAAGGAGAGAGGGAGAGAAATATCAATGTATGGTTGCCTCTCATGGGTCCCCTGCTGGGAACTGGCCTGCAACACAGGCATGTGCCCTGACTGGGAATCGAACTGCGATCCTCTGGTTCCCAGGCCCACGCTCAATCCACTGAGCTACACCAGCCAGGGCTAGATTTCCTCCTTTCTTTCAGCGTATGCTAAAAATTCGTATACATTGAAATTTGTATTAATAAGAAACAGGATAGACTTCTAAATTTCCAGCATGTGGCTGTTATGTCTGCCAAGTGATGACTTAAAACACATCCTTTTATTTTTGTGAGATGGCTTCACAGCTTTGACTTTGAGTTTCATGGGTCAT